TATGTTACTCTTTTTGATGTGATAGGAGATGGGATTGCTTCCTTAATTTCTGTTTCTGATAACTCATTGTTAGTGTATAGAATGCAACAGACTTCAGTTTATTAATTTTGTATCCTGCAACTTTACCAAATTCATTAATGAGTTCTAATAGTTTTCTGCTGGCGTCGGTAGGATTTTCTATGTATAGTATCATCCTGTGTAGGTTAATTCATCTAGATTTTATCTTGGTATATGCTATGAGGGAAGGAACCATCCCTCCCCCTTCATTTATTTAACCAATTGTCCAAAAATTAAAAATCATCCTTTCCTCCACTGATTGGCACTGTTACTCCTGTCATATATCAAATTTCTAATGACAGTTTCTCGATTACTGTAACTCAGTAATGAACTTTTACATTTGGTAGAACAGATTACACCTTCCCTCCTGTCTTACTTTCCTAGGATGGTCTTGACTTCCGAGCCATGCAAGTTTTAGGAAAAGCTTACCAAGTTAGCTTGAAAAGTCCTATTGAATTTTGAGTGAGATCACACTGAGCTTATAGATCGTTTTAAGAACTAATGTCTCTAATACTGAACCTTCTAATTTATGAACACGGTGCCTTCATTTACTTTTTTCCAGTGGTTTTCCAGTATTTTTTAAAATAAACTTAAAAGTTTTCTTCAAGTTCTTTTACTTGTTTTGTTAGAAGTATTTCTAGTTAGCATATATTTTACAAAATGTTTTAACACATTACAGAATATTCAGAAAAATGCGTAAAACATAAATGTGTAGCTGAAGTTATTAGAAAGTCAGTGAGTCAGGAAATGAAGCACTGCCAGCGCCTCAGGAGCCCACCGCATCCCTCTCAGGCAGAGCGCCCTGCTCCCCCTCCTGTAACTATCCTAACCTTTTTTAAAATGAACTTTCAATTTTTGTGTATTTTTATGCTTTATGTCTTGTAAATAGTATAAGGTGGTTGTTTTAAATCTAGTTGATTATCTAACTTTAACTGGAGGCTTCAGTCGCTTATGTTTATGATTGTTGATGAGTTCAGACTTCCTTTTGTTGTCTTTGTGCCTGCTAGTCATCTCACTTTTTGATGTCTCTTTACATATATTTTTTGTTTATTTTCTCCATTTTTTTCTTCTACTAGTTTGAAACTGTGACCCTAATTTCTGTTCATGTAGTATTTACCCTTGACACTTTGCATATTCACTTACAACTTAAGGCTAATCAATCTCTTAATCCTTCTCCTGACTAGAAGAACAGCACTTTACCAGAACTCTGGTAACTCTGATCTCGTCCCACTCCCAGTTTGTGCTGCTGTTTTAATTGCCTTTTTAATTAACCTCACATAGTAGACGCTGTTTTTTAGTGTTTGTTTAGATACACCTAGAAGCTTAGCAGTTTCTCTGTGCACCAATCCTTCTTAAATCTCAGACCTTTCTTCTGGATGAATTCCTTCCTCCTGATCTTTCTTTCGTTCTCGAGCTCTGATGAGATGCATTGGGTCATTCCATTTCACATCTTTTAAGTCTTTTCATCTCTGTCTTCTATTTTTCCTCTCCTTGTCTCTGCTGCATTCTGGGCGTGGTCTTCAGATATGTCTTCCAGTTTATTAAAGCTTCAGTTCGATCTAATCTTCTGTTTAGTATTAGCATCCATTGAGTTTTTAGTTTCATTTATTATACATTTCTGAAGGACTGACTTAGTTTCTCCTAAAATTTGATCATTTTAAAATAGTCGTTTCCTGTTTGAGTTCACTTTTTCTTTATACACATCTGTATGATTGCTTTGCCTTCAAAATACAGTAATTCCAGTGTCTGAAGGTGTTGGGATTCTAAATCTTTTTTCCTAGCATTTTATTTTTCATGGCACTATTATTTATTTATGTATTTATATATGTATATTTTTTGTTTGTTTGTTTGGGTTTGTTTTACTTTAATCTGTGGGAAAACTGGATACTTCCTCCTGAGAGGCTGAATTGTTGCCAAGCCCCTGGGATGCCACCAACTTGACACCATTGTAAATCAATTTCTTGGTTTTGAGTTTTGTAAATTTTACTCAGACCTATTTGAAACAGGCTCATAGTTCCAAATCCTCACCGAAGACCATCATCCTTACAATGATTTTCCTCTAGTAGCTGTGCGTGAAAGACCTGCCTACCTTCTGGGAACCTCTCTTTGCTGGCAGATGGATTTTCTCCCAGCCTCTTGACAGGGGGCCTTTAAGGATCCCTACTTCATGGAGGCATTTCATGTTCAGCTGCCCTAAGACACTGTCTCCCATTACTGAGTAGACGGCAGTACTTGCCTCTAGGGCCACCCAGGTTTTTAAGTTCTCTTGCAGAGTTGCTTTAGATTTGCCATTCCTTTTGGCGGGTGAGTTGGGGAGGATTGCTTGTTGGGGATTTTCCTTTCATTCTATCAGGCTTAAAAGGTGCGTTAAAAGGTACGTTTATAATAATTTAGTTACAGTGAGAGGGCCTCCTAAGAGGATCTGGGTCACCATATTGCCAGAAGTAGAAGGGTGCTTTCGTTTTTTTCAGCAAATAAAAAAATGAAGAATCCTTTTAAAAACTGAGAGAAGGGCTTCATGATTCTAGGCCCCATTAATGGAAATACGGAGTCTAGGATTTGAAATCAGTAATCGCATTGTATTAAACAGACCCACCGCGAAGCTTGTACTCAGTTCTAGTAGGCATATTTAAGGTGACCAGTAATAGGGTGATAATTATGATACAACCTCTGGAACCAGCAAACCGTAAGTTTTCAAAGGCTATTTAACATCATGGAGAAATTTTTGCAACTTATTTGAGAAAAGTTGTATACAGAACTATTCTGCGTGGCCCCCAAATTATTTAGGAGACAGGAAGAAATAGCAAATTGGTAAGTGACAGTTGGTGGCAGAGTGACAGAAGTTTATTAAAGTCTTGTATTCCATATTTTCTACAGTAGAAAAAAAACAGGTGGATACTGGTAAACTAGACAGTATCCCCCTTTGAGAAGTCAAAAACCTAGAAAACAAACCTAGAAAACTCATACTTAGCTAGAGGAAAAGGTAACAGTCAATTATCTTGAAATGGGTGAAATAATGTCACGAAACACACTACCATTTGGTGCTCACGCTGTACCAGGTGCTGCACAGGACCTGGCGAGGTTAGCTCGACCGGAGCCCAGCTGCTGGCGGGCCCCACAGCTTCCGCTGGAGCCAGCCCCGCCTCGTGTCGCCGCTCACTCTGCCCCTGAGCCTGGAACCATAAATTTTCCGTACCACTCTCGTTGACTCTGGTTTACTGTCAGGATACAGTGGCAGGGGAGAGGATGCCCCAGGAAGGTAGGAGGTAGAATTACTGTACTACAACGAATTGTTTAATATATAGAGACGGGATACAGTTGTTTCACAAAAAGATATATTTTCATATGACTATTTACATTTTTCGTATTTAGTTAAAGAATATCATACAACTGATATCTTCTGAAATGTTTTATGCTTTTAAACTCTTTTCTATTTACACTTATCTGACATGGAATTAAAACTAAAATGGTCAAATAACTTGGTAATAGAAAGCAACCAGCCAGCATAGCTAGGCCTTCTCTTAAGTTAGCTGATCAAAATTAGCAATAGTTACCTTAATAAATTATCATTTGTTTTAAAATCAGTAGTAATTGTAAACAATGTATAAATAAGTGTGCTCTGTGCTCTGTTCAATGTTTAATATCCTGTGGGCACTAAAAGCTTGTAATATTGTCAGATTTGCACATTAGTACTTCATCGAATGATAAGCTTTCCCAAAGAAGAAACTGGACAAGTTTGAAATTACACCCTAAGTTTTTCTGGAGAGTCACGAAAGCTCTGGCTGCTTTAAAGGAGGCGGCTCCAGTTTCCGTGAGAGGGCAGTTAAAATCTGGTTGAATTTCTCATATCTCTCTGTCTGATTGACTTGTGCACCTTTGCTGCCCCATAGCAATCTCATTTGAAATTCAGTCTTGAAGATTTCACTCATTTCTTCATCTGGTTGAAAACCTAATGAAAACAAAACAAAAAAACTTACTTCAGTTCTGCCCGAAACAGTGTTGAAAAAGATTG